TTTACACACTTTTCCTGAAGATAGAAGAGTTTGTTGAATCTGACGTGACATGTTCGTACGAACCCTTTGTACGAACAAAAGTAAGAGAAATTTAGGAAAAGAATACGAACATGTTCTTGTATGAGGCCCATTGAGTGCATTAACCAGTTCACTCAGTTCTCTCTTTGACTCTTAAACCCCCAAAAATACAAATTAAAAAATGAAATAAAATATACTTAAGATGAGAAATACATCAGTGAAACTGACCAAAACCGAACAAAAAGTGAACAAACATCMCATTCCAACCCTTTWACACCTCCATGGTTTCACTAGAGAYAACCTTTGATTTGTGTYGTTTCTAAAAGTGAGTTCAGCTAYGACAGAGTTTCATATCCAGACTGAAGTCAAAAGTGTTAAGTTAAAATAAAAGGAGAACTTACGGGGAGTTTTCCTCATCTCCTGACAGACTCCAGTCGTCATCATAGGMGCTCTGCAAAAACCAACAGAAAAACAAGCGTTGGTCACGCTTCTGAGTCTTGATGAGTAATAAATACCATGATATGTRTTAAAGAAAGGTGAAATCACCAGATCAGGATAGGGCTCTGTGACTTTCCTCACTGGAGGTTTAAACTTCACCTGGTCGACTGTAGGAGGGCAGAATATGACAACAACAATCACATCAGAAACACACAACAGTAAACACACAACAGTAAACAACAACAACTGCATGTCTTTATCACACTCCAGTTTGGTGCAGTTAGAAAGGTTTTAGTCTGTTTTCTCAGAACTGACTGAGATTCAAATGAAGAGAAGTCACAGYTCATCTAATTATCACAGAGAACCTGGTCTGCTGCTGCAGTTTGACTGAAGCAGACAGGAAGTAAACTAATAAACCAGAAACAGGAAGTGACTGCTCTGTGTCATCATAGTCTWTGACAACAAATGACTGATTCTGATTCGATTCTCCAAGCTTGTCTTGGTGATTATTACCTTTGTATTTTTATACATACAGAAAGTATATCCAGATCAGTTCTGTCTCTCCTGTCCTCCCAAAYCCTGGCAGATTGAGAGATGGACACCTGTCCTGATTATAGCTCTACTGGACTTTACTTCCTGTTAAAAATAAGTTGTTCCTTCCCATTGTTGAACATCAGTCTGAGAATGCTTAGGATGGGGATAAATGGCAACAAGTGGTACCATTTGCCTTTTGGTCCTTCTTCACAACTGATTGGAGCAACAGCTTCATCACTGATCACAAGGCTCTGACTGCAAACCACTCCAGAGCACACAGGTCCTGACCTGAGGACAGCAACAGAACCACATCATCTGCATAAAGCTGAAATGAGACCCTGTGGTTCCCAAACCAAACACCCTCCTGTCCACGACTGCACCTTGAGATCCTCTCCATAAACACCACAAACAGGATAAGAGACAAGAGACAGTTCTGAATGCGAACAAGCTTAACTTTCTGCCAAGAATGTGAGTACACACCAGCTCTGGGCATATCTCTTCGATGCAGTCTCACCCCTCTCGCAGGACCCCCACAGAATGCCTCAAGGAACAGGGCCATCAGCTTCTCCAGGTCCACAAAACACATGTAGACGGAAAAGGCAAGCACTCATGACCCTCTTAGAAACYTCACAAAGGTGAAGATCTGTCCACTGTTCCAGGACAACAGTCATATTGCTCCTCTTCCAACACCCTGTAGTAAACGAGAGGCAGAGAAGTGGGGTCCTTTGACAGCTGGAACACACCCTCCAGACTTACTCATTTGGCACTCTGAGGTGATGTTCCAGTCCTCCATACGACACTGAAGACATGTGTCAACCATGACATGAGTCCACCTGCTAGGGACTCTACCCTGGTAATGAACAGTGGTGGACAGTAGTGGAGTACATTTACTTGAGTACTGTACTTAAGTACATTTTTTGAGTGTCTTTACTTTACTTGAGTAATTATTTTTGGGGGTACTTATGACTTTCACTCCACTACATTTCAAAGGCAAATATTGTGCTTTTTACTCCACTACCTTTCTAGGAAGCTTTTAGTTACTTGTTACTTTTGGTTCAGCATAGCTTTGTAATCTGCTGTTGCTGTTTTTCTTTCTTRAAATGCATTTGGCCACACTATGTTCCTCACAAGGGGAACCAATCACAGTCATAGCTCACACCTGGGATAGATTTGGAGTTACATCATCTTTGTTAACTGTTGCGAGCTGAGCCTGAGCTCCACCTTCATTTCAAACAGAACCCAGTAATGGAGACGGTTGAAGAAGCTCAAGTGGAGAAACCAGCAAATATCTCAGCTCGATGTTTGAGATTTTAGGACTGAAAAATAGCTCCTATCAGTTTAAACACCTTATGGGTTCACTGCGGATAAACTACATTTGTGCATTTAAGAAATCACCACTCACTTTATTGCATTTTTATGCTGAAGCCTTTACAGGCAGTGTAGAATTTGTAGCAGAGTGGTTCTACATATCAGCTGGTTTCTGAGAGTTACAAGTTTCTGTAAAATCACTCTGAAAACAACACAGCAATGTACTGAAATTAGAAAATTTAAGTTGTACTTTTGAATACTTGAGTACTTTCAAAAGTAAGTACTTCATTACTTTAACTTAAGTAGATTTTTGACCTGAGTAACTTTTACTTGTAGTTGAGTAGATTTGACCCTGAGTATCAATACATTTACTCAAGTACTGGAGTGTAGTACTTTGTCCACTACAGGTAACGCACTCGTCTTCCTAAAATCTTTAATCTCTGCCTTCACAAAGATGAACATGGTGACAGAATTAAAGAGATCCTCAAAATGTTCCTTCCAACATGATCTCCAGTCCATGTCAGCAAATCACCAGCTAAACCACACCTGCTTTCTGCTGTTGAGATGCTGATTGGTTTGCCAGAAACTCCTCGTGATCGACCAAAAGTTATTTTCCATGGCCTCTTCAAGCTGATTCCAAAAGTTCTTCAGCTGTAGATGTTTATTCAGGGATCACTTTCAGTTTCAGTGGTTGGTTTGATTAAAATCTGTCCAGTGGTCAATGATATATTTTGCTAATAGACACACAAACACACAGGCACAAACATCATCCTTTCACCATTGCTTTTGAGGGYGATAGCTTAACTACCCTTTCACAAGTACTAGTTCTGATACTAAATTAAATTCAGGTGTATAAATAAGTAACCAATAATCCAACACCTGTCCCAGGGTGATGAAATATCAAACCTTTGTCTAGCATCAATGTAGTCTTCAAAGTGAGTAGTGTCAAACCTGAGGTTTGTAGTTTTTCTGTATATAGTGTTTACAGGAAGTTGAGGTCAACACCTGTCTAATTTACAAAAAGACAACAACCACATTGTGACACCAGTCTACTACGGCTGAAATACCAAACTGGCCAGAAGCTCTCCAGCAGCTGGCTGTATGAAGTCATTGAGGTGAGTGCATAGAAGTACTTGTGTCTGTCTCACACTGTTTCAGTGCCATCCTCTGACGCAGCCTTCATCCCACATGTTACACAACAGTTACAGTTACAGGAGAGCCATCACCACACTCACTGAGACGCTTTTGTGCTCCTTCATGTTGGGACTATTACAGCCCTGCAGGGTCACGCTGAACAATGAAGCCACTTTTCAGCCACATACAGCAGGATTTAACCCACAGTGCATTTATAATGATTAAAATGAATAAAACACCACACACACAGTTTTGTACAAAGAAATAACTTTGTTGTGTTAGCTGATGTTGATAAGATGTTACAGACATCTTAGATTGAGTTGACTTTAAGAACTCATTCAGTGATTATTTCATTAAATTATTTGCAGGCGGACCGTGAAATATTTTACTAAGAAAGGTTCAAGTTTTAAGCAAACATCTGGAGCAATAAGTAGAACTACTGTATGTGATGTGAAGGACTCTCAGGCGAATTAGCTCCAAAACTTTTAGCTGTAAATCCATCAATTATTTCCTGAAGGATTTAGCTCACTCTGTGCAGTGGTTCATGGGATATTTTGCTAACAGACAGACACAGAAAAAATTTCATTATGCTACATTGCATTAAAAATATGTTTAAAGAAACAAATCTTGAGTTTAATCTTAAAGATGCTCAGGTCAGAGGTGGACTTAAGGTCTAGAGGGGTTTTGTTCCAGAGTGGGCGTCCTGAAACTGAAAATGCCCAGTCACCCCAATGCTTTAGCCTTGACCCTCTTCAGCTGATCCAGAATTCTGCTGCTCCTTTGTTAACGGGGACCAAATGATCTGAGCATATTACCCCTGTATTGCATTCCCTTCACTGGCTGCCTGTTTCTTTTAGGATTGTTTTTAAAGTTTTACTTTTGGTTTTTAAATGTTTAAATGGTCTGGCACCTGTTCACCTTTCTGAGCTGCTACCAGTGACGTGCGGTCAGGGGAGGCAGGTGAGGCAGTGCCTCACCAGCCATCATGGAAAGAAAGAAAATATTTAATCATAAAGTAATTTAAATTGTTATATTCATCCGGTGGTTTGTACTAAAAAATATTTATTTTTCACGTAGCTTCACCAATTTCGATTTTTATTTGTTCAAAATCGCTGA